CTGCATAAGATAAAACTCTTCCTGCCCAGAAGAGTTCTTGGCCAAATGGCAGGCAGAGTGAGGAACACAGAGCTTTGCCTGGTGCTGAATGACAGGCTCAATGTCTTTCTGGGTCAAAGGTATCCAGAGAGTAAAATGGCGAAGGAATATGAGATGGACACCTAATGCCACTCACCGTATTCTCTGCATTAGGAAATAGAATATAGGTGCTCAATTATCACAAAGTTTTTAAGATTTTTCTTTTATGACTTTTCTTCTAAGATGGCGCCACTGATGGCAGCCTTGGTGAAATGCTCTCTGATAGTTTTTATTTTTATTTTTTTTATTCTCTGTGATTCACTCTGGATTTCAAGAGACCAATTGCTAAGCATCAAGCAATATTTCTTTAATGGGCAGCTTTCCGTGACTACAACCTGTCTTTACAAATGCAGAAGAGATTCTAATACAGAAAGAAACAACTGCATCTGAACAATGAATAAACAAAAACAAAAGGAGGAGATGCCTGAGGCACAGAAGGGGTAAACGAGATTTTGAATAGTCTAAGGAAAAGGACTCACTGGAGAAGAGCCTAATGCTGGGAAAGATTGAGGGCAAAAGAAGAAGGGGATGACATGGCTGGATGGAGTCACTGAAGCAGTCGGCATGAGCTTAAATGGACTCCTGAGGATGGTAGAGGATAGGAAGGCCTGGAGGAATATTGTCATTGGGGTCACGATGGGTTGAACATGACTTCGCAACTAACAACAACAATGAAAAGTGGAATAAAAACTCCTCTTCCTTCACTCTTTCTGTCTAATTTACATTCACTCACTAATAAGATGGATGTAATACTTCTTTTAAATAGATGCAACTCTGATTTTTACAACTCAGCAGCTCTCTGCTTCACTGAAACTTGAATAAATGAGTCAGTTTGATGATAACAGCTTGCATATCCCAGGGTTTCAGATACAAAGAGCAGACAGAATTGCAGAACCTTCCGGTAAAAAGACAGGAGGGCTCCTGTGTTTTGATATCAACAGCCGCTGGTGCCAAAATATAACCATATTAAAGAAATTCTGTGATGTGGACTAAGATACATTAATTATCAATTACAAACCATTTTATTCCCCATGAGAGTTTTCCTTATTTAGCCTAATTGCTGTATATGTTTCTCCACAAGATTGTGTAAACAGTGCATTATGAACTGTAGCTGACCAGATTATGTGGACTGAAGTTAAATATCCAGATTCACTCCCCATTGTGTTAGGAGATTTCAACAGGGCTAACTTAAGCAAAGAGTTACCAAGATATTTTCAGCATGTCAACTGTCTCAGCAGAGGCAATAATATTTTTGACCATTGCTACAAACATTAATAGATGCTTATTGGTCTTTACCACGAGCAGCTGTGGAACACTCTGATCGTTGCACGATTCACCTTGTTACTGCTTACAAAGACTTAAAACCATAAAACCAACAATTAAATCAGTAAAGTCTTGGACTGAGGAGGCAAAACTAAAGGCTTGCCTTGACTGTACTGATTGGAATGTTTTTGAAGATACCGCTGCAGACCTGAATGAACTCACAGATACTGTAATATCATATGTCAGTTTTTGTGAAGACCTCTGTGTGGAAACCTGCAAATATACAGTAACAACAAACCTTGGTTTACATTGTAAACTACCCAGAGATGTATTTAAGCAGACATGCTATTGCTGTTGCTATTAACTCAATATAGGCAACAGTTCTGATAATAATATTTTCCTGTTCTTATCATGTTTGAAGGTGCTCAAAGCTGAGTTTGGACTCCTGCTAAATCTGAGAATACTAAGAAGAGTCTGAAAAATGCTCATCCAATTCAGGTCACTGCCTGGCATGTCTTTTCCTGCTTGCTTATTATTTAGAAACTCTTCAGTGAGTTGGTTGGACAGCAAGAACAATCAACCAGTGGAATGGCTTGCCTTCAGAAGCTCTGGGTGGTCCATGACTGGAGATTCACAAGAAGAAAGTAGATAGCCATTTGTCCTGAATGGTATAGGGTCTCCTGTGTGGACATGGGATTGGATTAGAAAACCTCCAAGGTCCCTTCCAAGTCTGTTATTGCATTATTCCTTAGTTGGAGCTTAAGAAAAGACATCCCACAGTCCACCCAAAGCTTTCTCAGCCTACATAGCTCTCATTCCCTTTTTGGAGAAAAATCTTATTCTAGACTGTAGAGGAATTTCACATTTAAGGCCCAGAGACTAGAGTTATGGGGGCTTACTCCCTTAGGGCTTGTCAGACAAAGTAGAGGAAAGCCAAGGAACCAACCAGTTAAACAGTGTTTAGCCTTCCATGCTTTGTGCAGCACATCTCTACAGGTTCTGACATATTGGCAGATGCACTATGGAATAGCCCCACTGCTCTTCCCAACCCTCTTCCCAATCAGTGATCTTCCTTGGAGACAGACTGTCTCCGTAATACCACCCCTATTTACACAACCTGCTTAGCAAGACTGTCAAAGACCTAAAGACTGCATTCATGCTAAGCTTGGCTGATTTGATTTTTGTGACTTGGTGTGCAGTGCCAACCCAGCCTGCTCAGTTAATTTATGGTTCACTGTATTCTATGAACTACAAATGGATTAACTCAGTAACAGGCTAACTTGGTTCCCCAACTCCCACTCCTCTGCTCCTCTTCCTACTCCTCTTTTCAGGATCCAATCAATGCATGCTAATTTGGGCAGAATGACAATATAAGCGACATATTGAAGCAACACAGCTGTGTCACTGCAGAACCGGAAATAGTTTCCAACTTCTGAAAGATGAGAATTGACTCGATGTTCAACCAGAAAGCAAAAGTTGCATCTTGTTAGCCTGGTAATTTTGCATGCAATGTTTATTTAACAATCAAAAGTTTTATCATCACATTTTGAAAAACACACCATTAACTCCCTTATTTGAGCCATTACTACTACAGCCCTCCATGCACCCGAAGCAGCTCAGCTCAGCCTCCAGCGTCAACTGGCTTTCCCGAAGATACGTTTCTCAGCCCTGATTATAAACCAGAGCTGGCAAAACAGAGTGATTTAATGAAGTTTTGATACAGCTCATCAAATACTGAAATGAGAAGTTGCAATATTAATTTAGAAACTCATTATCATTTCAATTCTACTCCTTCTAAACTGCATTAATAATGGGGCAGTTCATGGCATTTCTGAAGGATGATGTATCATTCAAAGGGCAAAAATATATTTCAAAATTACATTTCATTTGACACCCAAACATCAAGCATATTTTCCATATAACCATGTAATCAATTCCTTTCTCTGTGAGTCTCTTCCCATCTTGAGGTTGAGGGAGAGGCTGGGGGGGGGGGGAGGAAAAAGTTCCCCTCCCAGATGGAAGCACAGAATCTGGTCCAGGAAACCAACCCTTCTTTTTTCAGCCCTGCTCTCTGCCTCCAACTAGGCCCCATTGTCAGAAAGAGAGACCTCTCAATTGCAGGCAATGTCTTGGGGAAGATGATAGCTTTGTGCTAGATTGAATTGTTTGAGAGATTTGGAACAGCAGCTAAGTGCCCCAAAACATTATCGGCAGCCTAAGGAGAGAAGCATGGAAGGAATTATTCAGATAAGCTGTAGTGGTAAAAGGTAGTTAGAACAAGTCTTCCTAATCTGGCTCAGGTTGAAACTCAGGAACAATTCATTATCTGTCTGGACATTTTGTTGGAAGTTGACTAAAGCCTTTCACAGAAATGGATTTATCATGTGATTTACTCAGACTGGAAGCTCACTAGAACATTCAAAACTCACTCACTCAACTGCTTATTTATTTAGATTTAGAAACTTAGGGTAGACCTCAGGGTAGGACAAGAAATAATGGGTGGAAGCTCATCAGCTGGAAACAAGGAGGAATTTCCTAATACTGAAAACCAGTAAGCAGCGGAACAGTTTGCCTATTAAAATCCTGGGTGTTCCATTGCTGGAGTTTTGAAAGAAAAGATTGGACCAATTTTTTCCCTGAGATGGAATAAGGACTCCTGCCTTGGGCAGGAGATTGGACTACAAGACCTCCAAGGTCCCTTCCAACCAGGAGTGAAAATCAGCAGATTCTGACAGGTTCTGGAGAACAGGTAGCGGAAGTTTTGAGTAGTTCAGAGAACTGGCAAATGCCACCTCTGGATGGCCCCAGAGTGGGGAGGGAATGAAGAGTTTGCAGTATCCTTCCCCTGACACACCCACCAAGCCACACCCACCAAGCCATGCCATGCCCACCAAGCCACGCCCACATTTTTTAAATTCAGTGGTGGTGGTGGCAACGACGGCACTGGGACGGCAAGACCATGGCAAGACCCCGGCTTCTAGCTTTTTTGAAGAGAGGAGCCCCTTACTGTGGGATTGGGAGCAGTGGCGGCGATGGCGCTAAGGCGGTGTGTGACCAGGACGACGTGCAAATTTCGATCTCCGTGCTGGACTACAGACCTGGCCACAGATCTGGTTTGAGTAAACGTGCTGCGCTGGGGCTTTGAGGAGGAGTGGTGTGTGGTTTTATCAACTGGACTATGTCCACCATGGTTGGGTGGTTGATTTGTGCTGCTGCTGCTGCAACAGCCTTCCCACCTACCCCCCAGACTTCCCCACTCCCCCTCTCTTTTTTGCTACCCATTATCCATCATCTGCGGCCTCTTCTGCTACCCATTATCCATCATTTGCTGCCCCACAGGAAGACCTCTTAGGACCGCACCCTTGCCCGGGCCAGCTACCACTCCAGTTATTCCCGAACTTTCAAACTTTGGACTTTTGGACCCTTTCCCCCCACTCCCCCGCTACCCCTTCCACCATTGTTCTGAACGCTGCCCTGTTCCTTCTACGCTCCCTTGGGACTGTGCCCCTTTGGACTAGTGGCGAGAAACGGGTGGTGGTGGTGGTGAGGCTTTGGACTGCCTCTTGTTCTAACCTGGCATTTANTGCTTGGCAACTGACTCATAGTTATGATGGCTGCAGTGTCATAGAGTCATGTGATCACTCTTTGCAAACTTATGACGAGCAAAGTCAATGGGGAAGCCAGATTCATTAAACAACTGTATTTACTGCAACAACAATCTTTTTTATTGATCATGGAGCAATATCACAAACAAAAGCATTAAAAATATTAAAAACAAAAATAAGAGGCAGGCAGAATAATGTATTGCAATTGGTGGTGGATTATCAATGGGCAATTAAAGTTAGTCTAATTTTACATACAACATGGAAAATTTGGTCACATTCAAAGAAACTATAATGATACAATAGCAGTAGTTGCACACAAAAAATATCAGTATTTTCTGGGTATTTTGTTAGGTGATGTGTTATAAATTGAATCTGTGAGTCCTTATAGAAGATTCAGTATAGCAAGACGTGAAGTATAGTTTCACTGGTCTCTTGTCCACAGAGACACAGTCTCAGCTCATACAGTATTTTTTTTTGCATTGGCCCTCCAAAACTGTGGGAAGTGCGTTGCTAAGGTTAGTGCCATTTGGACCCTTTGGGGTGGTGGTGGTGGTGGTGGAGGAATATAATATTTTGCTGCTTTAAAGGGGGGATTTTGATTGCTCAAATAAACATTCTTGGGAAGAGCAGCCCAATCTTGTCCAATTTCCAGGTCTTTTAAGTGCACACTCCTACCCCATTATTAAAAGAACTTCCCTGGATAGAACCGTGTTACCAACTTTAACAATCGAAGTGATTCACTTAACTGTGGCAAGAAAGGTGGTAAAATGGGGCAAAATTAACAACATTGCTTAACAGAAATTTTGGGCTCAATTGTCATAAATCGAGAACTATCTGTAATTGAATATATCACAAATAATGTAGAGGTTAATACAGCGCAGTAAGCCATAATGTAGCCACAATATCAGGGTTCATATAACTTGGTTATTTGCAAAACTAAGATTAAACATGATTAGCATACTTGTACCAATACAGCCTTTAAAATATCCATATAGTATTAAATTGTTGCTAATATCAATAAATCATATAAAATTTCTTCTTTCAAAAGGATTTTAAAAAATATAGCTCTATTTTTTAAAACTTCTTTATACCTTTGAATTAATATCGACTCCTGATGAGTGCCTGGATGTGACTATGCAGTTTTCTTAACCAGATTTTTCAGAAGTGGCTCCCCGTTGCCTCCTTCCTCAGGCTATGATGAGGAATGGCTTTCCCAAAGTAACCCAGCTGGGACTCATTCTCCTGTTTCTAGCCTGGTGCCTTAACCACTACCCCAAACTGGCTCTCCTTTAAATACAGCGAAGTGTTATACTTCTTTTAAAAAATACAGGAAGTCCTGATATATGAAGGGTTAAAGTAGCAGTTTCCTTACAACTTAATCTTTGTGTCAGTGGGCTGCTTTATTCTGTTTTCCTAAATCTTGGTACTGTCATTATCAGAATCTGAGCTGCAGGTGAAGCCTAAGGAAGTCATCTCCACTCACCTGTTTTGGCCGGCAGGATGCTGCAGGGGGTGTCTGTCTCATCTTCCTCACCGGCCCATGGAGGAGAACTACAATGCTGGTCCAGCCCTAGAGCAGGCGTGCTTGCACTAGACCACCCCAGCTCTAGTGCAAGAATTATAAGCCATGGGCAATTGGCTTGACTTTTAATTTGCATGATGAAGCCTCCTTCCAAGTGTGTGCAGTCTTGGGGGAAGTGGAGGAAAGCGATGCTTGAACTTTCTTAAAACTGAGATTCCAGGCAGTTCAAGACTACTTTGATTGAAACAGGGCTTTGGTTATAAGGTTATCCTTCCTTAGTCTTTAACCTGGAGAGCGGAGGGTGGGATCCTTAAAATATAGTGGTCAGAAAAGCAGAACTGGATCAAGTAGCATTCTGTGCTTCAGTAGTAGTTTCTTAAAGTTGTTTTCTCCGATGCTTTAGGTTCCAGGAGCAAGAGGCATTTAGAAGAGGAGTGTGAAGAAGGCGGCGCAGGAGACACGAAAAGACAATGCCGTATGACCTGCAGGTGCTCATCCTCTCAGGCACATTCTCTCAGCAATGGAAGAGCAGCTTCTCCAGGCTCTTTCCTGAGCAGCAGTGGATACTTGGATAATGACTTGGATGATGCCATCCTGGCTCGTTCTGATGAGGAAAAGCCAGATTCTCCCACTGGACTCTCTCGTGAAGCTGAGGATGAGCTTATAGCAGAGGATCGGGAAACCTCCCCCTGTTTTGTAGCAATTGAAGTAAATAGATGTGAGGATGTGAAGAGTGGTAGCCTTTTAGCTTGTCCTGAATCTGCACAGCCTCCAAGGGCTCTGGATGAGGTTGAAAGCACAAAACCTCTTCCTCAGACCGGTTCTTCAGCCAGCTCAAGTGAGGTGGCTCTTTTCACAAATGATTTGGAAAAATACTTGAATAAGAGCTCTCAAAATCAAGCAGAGTTTGGTGCAAAATACAATGGTTTTAGGATTCCAGAAGTTGATTCAGACGTAACAGCTTCTTTGAATCCGGAGAGAGGTCTGCCTGGAAAAATAGATAATGACACAATAAAGACAGTGGCAAATGATTTGCCAGTAGGAAGCCAACTAGTGGCTGAACATGAATCATTTGGTGCAGTGGTTGAACAGTCCTCCTTAGAGAGACAGACTTCCCTAAGTTACAAGCAGCTCAGAGGCAAGAATACAAGCAACCCACTACCTGAAAAAGAATTAGATACCATTGACTTGCATGCAGTGTCCACTCGTGTCAATGGCCAAAGAAAGGATTGTGTGGAAGCTCCTGATGTTAAAAAAACAAATAGGTCAGAATACCTTCCCCTTCTTCCAGTGATCTGCTGTTAGGCGTGCTTTCTCAAATCACGTGGAGTTTGGCATGTATATTGTTTTCCCTGCTTTCTGCAGGTTATGAATTGAGCGGATTAATCTTCAGAACGTGGAAATTCATTTGGGAATCTTGTATGCGTGATATACGATGGGCTTGTTTTCTATCCCTTTGCTTCCCACTAGATGGTAGCAGGCACTAAACGTTTACTGTGGAAGACAGATTCCATGTCCAGGTTAATGTCCTCTCTTTTCCTGTGATTTGGAAGCAGTGAACATATTTTTGTTTTCTTTTAAATTTCATTTTCCTTATTTTCCTTTTCCCCATACTCCCCAAAATGCCAGTTTTCTTTTCCATGGATATAACAATGTTTACTGTTTGAAATATGGCACAAGATTTTTCTTTTAACAGTTGAGCGTCTTCATCCTGCAGAGGGCTAAAAGCTGGTACTTTCTCAAAACCAACATTTAAGCTATTCAAGATAACTGGCATATATCTGATGCTAGGCAGTATTACTTACTCATAGCACGGATTGTTATTTTTTACAAATTGTGGATGGTATGAAAGTGCATTGTTGGCCATCTGATGCTGCTGTAGATAATCTGCTTAGATCAGCGATAAGGCTGTTCTCTGTCACCAGAAATGGAAGGGAATAGAAGGAGATAGCTCCATCTCTTCTAGCTAGAAAGCAGGAGTGTACAACCTTTTGGGTGGCCTGAGCATCATTGAGTGAAAAGGAATTCTCTTGAACTACCTATAAAATATATAACATAGTTTATGTATATTAATTATGATGTTAAAAGTTTAGGATCTTGGAGCATACTACTAGCTGTCCAGGGTCGCATGCAGGCCAGGGGTTGGACATGCCTGGCTTCCTTTACTTGTATATTCCTTTGTCAGAGGGAAGCCCTTCTCTTCAGTCTTACATGCGGTCTTCTAGAGTATATGATGCTAATCTCGCCTGCCTGGACCTTGTCAAGCTAGGCATTGAGTAATATCAAGTGGCTTCTGCTCAGCAGACTGAAAGAATATTTATTCATGCATTGAGATGTGATGATGATGACAGAAAAGAGAGACAAATTGGTGGTGGGGCAAATGCTGCCAAAGTGATAGAAGAGGTTACTCGTCCAAGTGGCTGGTAAGGTAATACACAACAGCCAAGTGGCTATTAGCCATCAGCGGTTCCAGGATGGAAGTTTGGAGGACTGACCTGGAAACGCTGAACTCCCAAGGTCTCAATGGGGACAAACCCACCATGTCTGCTTTTGCTCTCAATGGAATGGTGGCAGGAGGGTTTGAGGAAGTTGGATGTGCAGGTATTTTGATATTTTTGGCACAGCCTCAAGATATGTTTAAGACGATATGAACTGGCCCAATGATGCCCAATGGGCAGTTGAGAAACAGGACGGGTTTGGTTGCACCCTTATTATGTAAACGTGCAAACGAGGCAGTCATTTTACTCCCTCCACCATTATGTTTGTTCCAAAGCGAAACCATACATGATCAGAGTGATGCAAAAAAAACAACCTACTTTGTTCGTAAGGAGTTAGTAACTTCTTCCACAAGTCCATCTAATGGATTTTGTTCCTCCCTATTTCTGCCTATTCACAGGCAGGAAGTGGCTAAAGAAGCAAAGAAGAAGCTACACCCTTCAGTTTGTCAACCCCTGAGCAACGTGGAAGACTCCATTTTCTGTGTGAAGTCAAGGTACAGCCCACAACAGCCATTCTTCAAGAGCTTCAGTCCAAGGAAAATATCAGACTGCATAATGTTATCCTCTAGCTTAGTGGCCCCATACCTTCTGGGCACCAGAGACTGGTTCCTTGGAGAGAGCTTTTTCTGTGGACCAGAGTGGGTGTGGTTTTACATGCTGCCTTCATCCTGTGGATGAGGCTTTGGTTTTTTTTGCATGGCCCGGTTGCTGGCATGCCATGGACTGGTGCCAGTCCATGGACCAGGAGTTGGGGATCCCTGCTCTATCTGTATAATATATATCAGAACCTGTTCAATATTGATCTTTTTAAAAAAAAAGATAAAACATGTAATCTGGGCCTTAACAATTCTGTAGACAATATTTGAAGAATCCCAATGGAGAGTAGGGTGTGGTTTTTTTTGGTACATTGCTCACCATGGATGTCAGAGCCCAACTGCTGTGTTTCCTTATCAATATAACCGTAGTGAGTAACGGAGGTACTACTAGCTATCATGTTTCTTCTACCAATGGAATGCCTAGTTGCACCTAACATTCGTGTGGTAGCAATCCTAACTTTCAGAATCAGTTCTAAATAGAGAAGTGCTCACCAATCCCTGTGAACAAGGGGGAGGTCACTGGTGGCTTCATGCATTAGAGATGGATGCCAAGTGAAAGTCGGTCTTGGGGAAGACGCTATTCAGACAAGTGATCAGATAAGAAAAATCCTTGCCCTCAGCTCTGGTTGTTTTGGACTGATACAGAATTGAGCATGTGAAGACTAGGAGAAGAACTAAGAGATGGATGGTGATGGCAAAGGAAACACACCCAGAAAACTTCAGACCAATCAGCCTAACATCAATACCTGAGAAGATACTCGAAAAATAATCAAAAAACAGATCTGCAAATATCTAGAAACAAAATATTAACGAAAAGCCAGCACGGATTTTTAAAAAACAGATCATGCCAAACCAATCATATTTCATTTTTTAACGAAGTGATTAAATTAGTAGATCAGCGAACTGATGTGTACATAGAATATTTAGACTTCAGCAAGGCATTTGACTATACCACAACCTACTTCTTGGTAAGCTAGAAAAATGTGGGTTAGACCATCACCAGCAGCACCAGATGGATTTGTAACTGGCTGACAAACCGTACTCAACGAGTAGTCAATGGTGCTACATCTACATGGAAGTAAGTAAGCAGTGAGGTACCACAANAACATGATTAGCATACTTGTACCAATACAGCCTTTAAAATATCCATATAGTATTAAATTGTTGCTAATATCAATAAATCATATAAAATTTCTTCTTTCAAAAGGATTTTAAAAAATATAGCTCTATTTTTTAAAACTTCTTTATACCTTTGAATTAATATCGACTCCTGATGAGTGCCTGGATGTGACTATGCAGTTTTCTTAACCAGATTTTTCAGAAGTGGCTCCCCGTTGCCTCCTTCCTCAGGCTATGATGAGGAATGGCTTTCCCAAAGTAACCCAGCTGGGACTCATTCTCCTGTTTCTAGCCTGGTGCCTTAACCACTACCCCAAACTGGCTCTCCTTTAAATACAGCGAAGTGTTATACTTCTTTTAAAAAATACAGGAAGTCCTGATATATGAAGGGTTAAAGTAGCAGTTTCCTTACAACTTAATCTTTGTGTCAGTGGGCTGCTTTATTCTGTTTTCCTAAATCTTGGTACTGTCATTATCAGAATCTGAGCTGCAGGTGAAGCCTAAGGAAGTCATCTCCACTCACCTGTTTTGGCCGGCAGGATGCTGCAGGGGGTGTCTGTCTCATCTTCCTCACCGGCCCATGGAGGAGAACTACAATGCTGGTCCAGCCCTAGAGCAGGCGTGCTTGCACTAGACCACCCCAGCTCTAGTGCAAGAATTATAAGCCATGGGCAATTGGCTTGACTTTTAATTTGCATGATGAAGCCTCCTTCCAAGTGTGTGCAGTCTTGGGGGAAGTGGAGGAAAGCGATGCTTGAACTTTCTTAAAACTGAGATTCCAGGCAGTTCAAGACTACTTTGATTGAAACAGGGCTTTGGTTATAAGGTTATCCTTCCTTAGTCTTTAACCTGGAGAGCGGAGGGTGGGATCCTTAAAATATAGTGGTCAGAAAAGCAGAACTGGATCAAGTAGCATTCTGTGCTTCAGTAGTAGTTTCTTAAAGTTGTTTTCTCCGATGCTTTAGGTTCCAGGAGCAAGAGGCATTTAGAAGAGGAGTGTGAAGAAGGCGGCGCAGGAGACACGAAAAGACAATGCCGTATGACCTGCAGGTGCTCATCCTCTCAGGCACATTCTCTCAGCAATGGAAGAGCAGCTTCTCCAGGCTCTTTCCTGAGCAGCAGTGGATACTTGGATAATGACTTGGATGATGCCATCCTGGCTCGTTCTGATGAGGAAAAGCCAGATTCTCCCACTGGACTCTCTCGTGAAGCTGAGGATGAGCTTATAGCAGAGGATCGGGAAACCTCCCCCTGTTTTGTAGCAATTGAAGTAAATAGATGTGAGGATGTGAAGAGTGGTAGCCTTTTAGCTTGTCCTGAATCTGCACAGCCTCCAAGGGCTCTGGATGAGGTTGAAAGCACAAAACCTCTTCCTCAGACCGGTTCTTCAGCCAGCTCAAGTGAGGTGGCTCTTTTCACAAATGATTTGGAAAAATACTTGAATAAGAGCTCTCAAAATCAAGCAGAGTTTGGTGCAAAATACAATGGTTTTAGGATTCCAGAAGTTGATTCAGACGTAACAGCTTCTTTGAATCCGGAGAGAGGTCTGCCTGGAAAAATAGATAATGACACAATAAAGACAGTGGCAAATGATTTGCCAGTAGGAAGCCAACTAGTGGCTGAACATGAATCATTTGGTGCAGTGGTTGAACAGTCCTCCTTAGAGAGACAGACTTCCCTAAGTTACAAGCAGCTCAGAGGCAAGAATACAAGCAACCCACTACCTGAAAAAGAATTAGATACCATTGACTTGCATGCAGTGTCCACTCGTGTCAATGGCCAAAGAAAGGATTGTGTGGAAGCTCCTGATGTTAAAAAAACAAATAGGTCAGAATACCTTCCCCTTCTTCCAGTGATCTGCTGTTAGGCGTGCTTTCTCAAATCACGTGGAGTTTGGCATGTATATTGTTTTCCCTGCTTTCTGCAGGTTATGAATTGAGCGGATTAATCTTCAGAACGTGGAAATTCATTTGGGAATCTTGTATGCGTGATATACGATGGGCTTGTTTTCTATCCCTTTGCTTCCCACTAGATGGTAGCAGGCACTAAACGTTTACTGTGGAAGACAGATTCCATGTCCAGGTTAATGTCCTCTCTTTTCCTGTGATTTGGAAGCAGTGAACATATTTTTGTTTTCTTTTAAATTTCATTTTCCTTATTTTCCTTTTCCCCATACTCCCCAAAATGCCAGTTTTCTTTTCCATGGATATAACAATGTTTACTGTTTGAAATATGGCACAAGATTTTTCTTTTAACAGTTGAGCGTCTTCATCCTGCAGAGGGCTAAAAGCTGGTACTTTCTCAAAACCAACATTTAAGCTATTCAAGATAACTGGCATATATCTGATGCTAGGCAGTATTACTTACTCATAGCACGGATTGTTATTTTTTACAAATTGTGGATGGTATGAAAGTGCATTGTTGGCCATCTGATGCTGCTGTAGATAATCTGCTTAGATCAGCGATAAGGCTGTTCTCTGTCACCAGAAATGGAAGGGAATAGAAGGAGATAGCTCCATCTCTTCTAGCTAGAAAGCAGGAGTGTACAACCTTTTGGGTGGCCTGAGCATCATTGAGTGAAAAGGAATTCTCTTGAACTACCTATAAAATATATAACATAGTTTATGTATATTAATTATGATGTTAAAAGTTTAGGATCTTGGAGCATACTACTAGCTGTCCAGGGTCGCATGCAGGCCAGGGGTTGGACATGCCTGGCTTCCTTTACTTGTATATTCCTTTGTCAGAGGGAAGCCCTTCTCTTCAGTCTTACATGCGGTCTTCTAGAGTATATGATGCTAATCTCGCCTGCCTGGACCTTGTCAAGCTAGGCATTGAGTAATATCAAGTGGCTTCTGCTCAGCAGACTGAAAGAATATTTATTCATGCATTGAGATGTGATGATGATGACAGAAAAGAGAGACAAATTGGTGGTGGGGCAAATGCTGCCAAAGTGATAGAAGAGGTTACTCGTCCAAGTGGCTGGTAAGGTAATACACAACAGCCAAGTGGCTATTAGCCATCAGCGGTTCCAGGATGGAAGTTTGGAGGACTGACCTGGAAACGCTGAACTCCCAAGGTCTCAATGGGGACAAACCCACCATGTCTGCTTTTGCTCTCAATGGAATGGTGGCAGGAGGGTTTGAGGAAGTTGGATGTGCAGGTATTTTGATATTTTTGGCACAGCCTCAAGATATGTTTAAGACGATATGAACTGGCCCAATGATGCCCAATGGGCAGTTGAGAAACAGGACGGGTTTGGTTGCACCCTTATTATGTAAACGTGCAAACGAGGCAGTCATTTTACTCCCTCCACCATTATGTTTGTTCCAAAGCGAAACCATACATGATCAGAGTGATGCAAAAAAAACAACCTACTTTGTTCGTAAGGAGTTAGTAACTTCTTCCACAAGTCCATCTAATGGATTTTGTTCCTCCCTATTTCTGCCTATTCACAGGCAGGAAGTGGCTAAAGAAGCAAAGAAGAAGCTACACCCTTCAGTTTGTCAACCCCTGAGCAACGTGGAAGACTCCATTTTCTGTGTGAAGTCAAGGTACAGCCCACAACAGCCATTCTTCAAGAGCTTCAGTCCAAGGAAAATATCAGACTGCATAATGTTATCCTCTAGCTTAGTGGCCCCATACCTTCTGGGCACCAGAGACTGGTTCCTTGGAGAGAGCTTTTTCTGTGGACCAGAGTGGGTGTGGTTTTACATGCTGCCTTCATCCTGTGGATGAGGCTTTGGTTTTTTTTGCATGGCCCGGTTGCTGGCATGCCATGGACTGGTGCCAGTCCATGGACCAGGAGTTGGGGATCCCTGCTCTATCTGTATAATATATATCAGAACCTGTTCAATATTGATCTTTTTAAAAAAAAAGATAAAACATGTAATCTGGGCCTTAACAATTCTGTAGACAATATTTGAAGAATCCCAATGGAGAGTAGGGTGTGGTTTTTTTTGGTACATTGCTCACCATGGATGTCAGAGCCCAACTGCTGTGTTTCCTTATCAATATAACCGTAGTGAGTAACGGAGGTACTACTAGCTATCATGTTTCTTCTACCAATGGAATGCCTAGTTGCACCTAACATTCGTGTGGTAGCAATCCTAACTTTCAGAATCAGTTCTAAATAGAGAAGTGCTCACCAATCCCTGTGAACAAGGGGGAGGTCACTGGTGGCTTCATGCATTAGAGATGGATGCCAAGTGAAAGTCGGTCTTGGGGAAGACGCTATTCAGACAAGTGATCAGATAAGAAAAATCCTTGCCCTCAGCTCTGGTTGTTTTGGACTGATACAGAATTGAGCATGTGAAGACTAGGAGAAGAACTAAGAGATGGATGGTGATGGCAAAGGAAACACACCCAGAAAACTTCAGACCAATCAGCCTAACATCAATACCTGAGAAGATACTCGAAAAATAATCAAAAAACAGATCTGCAAATATCTAGAAACAAAATATTAACGAAAAGCCAGCACGGATTTTTAAAAAACAGATCATGCCAAACCAATCATATTTCATTTTTTAACGAAGTGATTAAATTAGTAGATCAGCGAACTGATGTGTACATAGAATATTTAGACTTCAGCAAGGCATTTGACTATACCACAACCTACTTCTTGGTAAGCTAGAAAAATGTGGGTTAGACCATCACCAGCAGCACCAGATGGATTTGTAACTGGCTGACAAACCGTACTCAACGAGTAGTCAATGGTGCTACATCTACATGGAAGTAAGTAAGCAGTGAGGTACCACAAGGTTTTGTTTTGGGCCCAGGACTCTTCAATATCTTCATAAATGACTTAGATGAGGGAATAGAAGAGGAACTCATCAAATTTGCAGATGACACTAAGCTGGCAGGAATAGCCAACACCCCAGAAGACAAGCTCAGAATCCAAAAAGATCTGGACAGACTTGAACAATAGGTCCTATCCAACAAAATTAAATTTAATATGGAGAAAAGCAAAGTTTTACTTTTAGACAGGAAAAACCAAAGATACAGGTACAGATCAAGTTAACCCTGGCTTGAAAACAGTAACCGTGGAAGGACCTTGGAATCCTAGTGGACAATCACTTAAATATAAGCCAGTAATGTGCAGCAGCAGCCAAAAAAGCTAATTCAATCCTTGGTTGTACAAACAGAAGCACAGATTCAAAATCACGGGAAATATTACCGGTAGTACCACTTTATAAATCCTTAGTAAGGCCACACTTAGAATACTGCATCATGTTTTGGCCACACATTACAACAAAGATGTTGAGACTTTGGAAAAAGTGAATAGAAGAACAACTAAGATATTTAAAGGCCTGGAGACTAAAACATATGAAGAACAGTTGCAGGATTTGGGTTTGGCTAGTCTAGAAGAACCACTAGGGGAGACATCATAGCAATATTTTATTATTTGAGAGGATGCCACAGAGAGAGACAACTTATTTTCCAGAGGGCAGGACAAGAACCAATGGATGGAAACTAATCAAGGAGAGAAGCAACCTA